AAAAAGTGGTTTTGGTTAACAAAGAAGAGTTAGGTTAAACAGAGAATTTCGACAGCCGGAGTTTAGTGAGGCTTTTGCTAAACCTAACCTAGATGTCCGATTTTTTAATTGTTTCTAATTTTTCTAAATTATACCACTATTCTCAAGATACTATTGTAAATGCGATTAGCAAGGGGTTTACAGTCAAGCTCATTTCAGTACCTCTCTCTTCAGAAATGATTATATCAAACGCCACACATCCCTACCCAGTTATTCGCTGGGTTACGTACTGAACGTCTGTCCAGCCCACAGCGGGATGGTGTTAGGCCATGGGGCCTCTGGGAGGTGATTAGGTCATGAGGGTGAAGCCCTCGCGAATGGGATTGGTGCCCTGGGGATCCCAGAGAGCACTCTCAACCTCTCCACATGAGGAGGGGAAGCTGCAGTCTACAACCCGCACCAGAACCCAACCCCGCTGGCCCCTGATCTCTGACTTCCAGCCTCCAGACTGTCGGAAATAAATTTGTTGTCTATAAGTCACCAGTCGACCGTCTTCTGTTACTGCAGCCGGAAGGGACTGGGACCCGCTGTGAGCAGGAGAGGACCAGCGCGGGGCGTGCTGAAGCGTGCTGAAGCTGATCCCGCAGCCAGAGACAGCCAATACCGTTTCCCTACTGGAAACCGCGCAAGCTGCTGGCGTGTTGCCACAAGGCCAGCAAGTCCACGAAACCCACCGTGACGACTATCACCGCATGCACCGTAGCACTAACAGCAGTTGGTCCGTCTCCCCAAGATCTCCTGCACTGGAAGTCTGGGGAGAAAGAGGCTTCCACCACCTCTGTTCAAAGGACAGAAGCTGGGATTCCCTTTGGCTAATTTCTGGCCTGACGGCTGATCTTCGATTCCGGAATATCTTACTAAGTTGGTATTTTCAAGTCCAAACACTATCGACTGTTGCATCTGGATGCTGTTTGCAAAGTGACAGGTCTTTGAAAGTTTCAGGTATTTGCAACTTTGCATCTTTAGTGCATCCTGAGGCGTCAAGAATGAGACATCATTGGGATACCAGAGAAATGCGTCTTTAAAGCTATTGGTTCTCCATCGTCAGTTAACAAATGATACAATTTGTTAAAGCTATCGGTTCTCCATCATCAGTTAACAAATGATATAATGAAAAGAAGTCGATTTCTTGTTGAAAAAGAGCTGCGATGAGTTAAAAGATAATTTTTTAGAAAAGGAAGTGTACACTGAATAACTTGGACAAAAAGCAGTCAATCTAAGGTCAGAATGGTCACCCACCTGTGGATTCTTCAATTTGGTGATCACTTTCCAAGCTTCACTGAGAATCGGAAGTCGATCACCCTCGGGAGGATCGGCCAAGGCCAGGTTTAACCCCAGCGAGCGGAAAAGGAGATGCTAAGAAAAACATTAAACCATTAGGATTCTGGAGATTTTAAATTAGAGACGTTTCAAGCTTAGGGCCGTAACCTTCAGCTCGCCTCGGGGCTAATCTTCCAACGAACCCTCTCCCTGAAGCTCGACCACAGATGACAGACCCACACAAGCTAAACAGAGAAGCGCAAAATAATGGGCTGGCTCCACATCCTGGTCTAGTTTCTGGGCCAAAATATTCTGCTGGACAAAGCTTTTTGTAAATAATGAGTGAAGACCTGTCTTTAAACATGCGAGGCCACGGTCTTCCCTAAATACTCCCCAGGGAGCTAACTGCACGGATGGGGACTCACGAGGCCTGGCCCGCAGCCATCGCGTGGATCTGGCAAGCCCAGCTCTAACTCGACTTCCGCTGAGTTCTTCGGGGACACAGCCTTCGCCTGCTTTCCCGTCGGCCCGGGCCGCCCAGCACCTGACTCTCTCCCAACCAGGGCTTCGGGGAAATGCCGCCCACCTGCTCCCCACTGCGCACTCAGCCTGTGGCCCACCTTGGGGAAACCGGACTCGTCGCACTCCTTAATCATGCCAATGAAATCCATGGACCTCGTGGCGACGAACTCGGCCCGGAAAGCTGACATCACAGAATTCAGGAGCAAGGCACTGCAAGACACACGTGCCCCATGTCAGCAGACCAGCCCCGCAAGACGGTGTCTTTAATCTTACGGCGCATGTCACCGGAAGGATGACTGACAGCCCTTCAATGTAAGGCTGAAAAAAATCTAGAGTAAAAAGGCAACCTCTAGAGATCAACACGGTGTTTGGTGCATATTGAGAACTTGATAAATGTTGAAATGAATGGATGAGTGGACGCACAGGTGGGTGGATGGCTGCATGGCTGGAGCGATGGATGGACAGGTGAATGAGCAAGCAATCAAATCCATCTAAAGAGAAGTAAACGGAGCCTTCGACAGGCTGGTGCACTAATAAAACTAAACATTAAGTAACAGTATTGATCCCAGCTGCAAACACCTAGCCATCCACATCCCTTATGAAAAGCACTAGGACCTAGGGACGCAGTGACTTAGAGACATCCACCACCAAGAGGAGAGAGAGGAAGACAGAGTTCACCCTGACCCTACTGTTTGTCAGAACCCCACGGGGAACGGACTGTACTTGAACCCGACTTACAGATAAGGAGAATGGGGCACGGAGAGGTCAAGTTCACAAGCTACGAAGGGCAGATCCAGGCTTCTGCAGCCAGGCAACTGGATTCTAGTCTCTTGCCCTCCACGCTGTCCTGCACCCTCTTGCCCACATAAGCACGCCAAGCTCGAAAAACACACACACGACTCCATTTTCCAACTCATGCCTATGAATTTTTTAAAACTTACTTGTTTCCAAGTTTCTTGCATCGCTCCATCATCTCGGTTAGCAGAGTCTAAAAAAATTTTAGAAAGTAATGAGAATGATCAGGTTGGAGATTCTAAAGCAACATTTCCCCCAAAAGGAAGTAAATGTTTTACTCATTGCAATACTATTAATAGCCTTAGAGCTAACCTAAGACAATTATGCCTCTTTAAAAGAGCTTCTGTTTTTAAAAAAAAATCAATGGAAGTATCCTATAGGGCAGTGTTCCGGGAAGGTTCTCCATGGCACGGACAAGGCCACCCCTAGGACAAAAGAGCACTCAACATGTCACTGGGCCAAGCATTTTACATCCCTTTTCTTATCTATTCTTCGCAATAGCCTTGTGAGGCCCAATTTACAGAGGAGGAAGCCAAAGCTCAGGTAAGTTAAGCCACTTCCTAGCAAGTAGAAATGAGATTCCTATCTGGTCTGGCCCTGAGGTCAAAAAATAAGAGTCTTCTTTATAGTGCCATTCCGCCCTCTCCAGCTGTGTTCCTCTGTGTCCTAGGTGTTGCCTGAATAATCGAGGCGATAGCTGACTATGAAGACAGTGTTGGTAGCCCTGACCCGCCCCCCAGAACCTGCAATTTTATTCAGATTTCTGTCTCTGCCCAACAAAAATCAGGCTGGGTCCTGTTATGGACTGAAGTCCCCCCCACTTCATATGCTGAAGCCCCAATCCCTAGTGACTGCCCTTGGAGACAGGGCTTCTGAGGAGGAAATAAATATGAGACAAGGTCCTAAGAATGGGGTCCTAATCCAAGAGGGCTGGGGTCCTTGGAAGAGGAGGAAGAAACCCATGTGAAGACACAGTAAGAAGATGGATGTCTGCAGGCCAAGGAGAAAGGCCTCACCAGACTCTGACCCTGCTGGCACCTTGATCTTGGACTTCCAGCCTCCAGAACTATGAGAAAATAAATTTCTATTGTTATGGCAACCGGCTATGGTCTGGATGGTGACCTAACCATCCAGAGGCGATAGTGTTAGAAGGTGGAACCTTGCAGGAATGATGAGGTCTTGAGGGTGGGGCCCTCATGAATAGAATTAGTGCCCTTGGAAGAGCAGCCCAAGAAAGCTCTCTTGCCCCTTCCTTCCACGTGAGGACACGGCAAGAAGACAGCCATCTATGAACCAGGAAGAGGGCCCTCGCCAGACACTGAATCTACCAGCATCTTAACCCTGGACTTGCCAGCTTCCAGAACTGTGTGAAATGTGTTGTTTCTAAACCGCCCAGTTTGTGGTATTTTGTTACTGCAGCCCAAATGGATTAAGTAAAGGAATATGGGTCCAAATCAATAACGGCGGTCTCATTCCGCCATCGGTGGGCGGTTTAGACATGGACACGTGGCCCATTTCTAGTTGCTTCAAGGAAAGATTTCCTTGTTCTTAAACAGGAACTCAAGAAACCGAAGGCTCCCATCTCTCTCTCATACAGCCATATGTGGATGTGATGTCTGGAGTGACTGCTGCCACCTTGCGATCTGGGCATGACGGAGCGGAGAGGACAGCCCTGCCTGGCCCAGTACCCATGCTTGTTAACACGAGAGAACACGATGAATTATTTTTCTGGGGCCGGTCAGGTGTTTGTTCCTTGCAGCCAGAGCATCTATACGAAGATAAAACTGCTGACGTCACGAATGGCTTCCCTAACTCACTCGTGGGGTACACCTATGCGAAAAGTCATTCTTGAAGACCAGTATCAAAGTGGTTTCTGGGAAAGCCAGAGAAAGAGCTATTCTGTATAATTATCACACCAATACTCGCAAACACACACGAATAATCACTCGGGGGGCAACTTTTATGTACTAGCCACTAGTCCAGGCACTGGGGACAGGGCAGGAAGGCAGATAGAAATCTATGCCCTCATATGTGTGCACACACACACGTACGCACGCACACACACGAACGTACAAATGAATGTGACGTCTTGGCTCACCTCTTCTAAAAAGGTGACATAGGGAGAATGCTAACATGTGGACGAAACATCTGGCCATTAAGACAAAACAAATGCTTACGATATTCTCTTTTTGTAAGAGACGAATGCATTAAAAACGCATCCAAGACTCTAACTTAAAAAAAAAAAAAAAGACTACTGTCATACAGGAATACCCATAAACGTACAGGGAGCCAGACGTCATGGCTCTCAAGCAGGTCTGTTAGAGGTTATGAACTTTTTTTCTGTGAAGGGACAGGACTCATTATCTTTGGCAAGAACGAGAAGGACAATAGTTCAAACCGGACTGAGATCGCGACACGCCCGTTGGCTGAGAGAAACCACTGGAAAACTGGCAACTCGGCAGGTTAGTTTGCAGACACAACAGAACGAGAAGGTTCGTCAGGCTCCTACATTCCATTAATGTCTAACTTAACTGTTTTTGTAAAAATTATAAAAATAAATGCTTGCAGACGAAAGTTCACACAATATTGTCACGTGTCGAGTGCCATGTGAATGCCCTCCCTCCCAACCCCCACTTTCTAGGGGGTCACCGGTGCCAACACTGTGGTTTTCACCTTTGTAAGCCTTTGTCTCTCCCCTGTGAATACATGGCTTTTGTTATCAAAACCTGTTTTTCGTTGTTTTACAAAAATAATCATACATATTGGGCTGCAACTTGTCTTTCTCACTCAAGAATCTGGCAGGGTCTCCCTCCTCCTATGTCAATACACACAAATCTACCTCCTATTTTTAATGGCTGAGGAATCCATACCACAAACATAACATCATTGTTCAGGCTGCCCTAAATTGATGCATTTTAAAGATTTTTTTTATTTTGAACCAATTATAGACTCATAAGAAATTGCAAAAATAGTAGAGAGGTCCTGGGGACCCACCACGCCGCTTCCCCTGATGGTTACGTTTTTCATAAATATAGTGCATGACCAAAGCCAGCAAACTGCCATACACAACTCACTCGACTATTTCACCAGGTTTTACACGCACTCTTCGTTGTGGGAGGAAGGGTTTGCCTTTGTGACACTTCGTTAACGTGGATTTGTAGGACCGCCATCATATTTAAAATACTGGATTTTTAAGGTGACAGGTTAGGGCTACACCCCCGCTTTAAAAGCAGAGATAAAGAAAAAGGAAGTTGGGCCAACACTTCTATTTGCTAAACAAAATTTAACTCATATGCCGCCCAGAGCGCTCACAAATTTGTGCTTCTGTTTTTACTAAATAACCTTCCGATCAGTGTTTATAAATACTGCTTCATGAAAAAAAAAAGATTTAAATGATATGCATATCGCATTGTTCTTATTTTTCGAAATGAAGCAGAAATGTAAAGGGCAAGCAAAATCATAAACTAATCTTAAGAGCTAATACCCTTTCTTCCAATCCAGGGTAAGATGGCTCGGATCTCATAAAATATTTCAACGTGACTAAAGAGAAATCCTAGGGGTTGAAGGCAGTGGCATAGGGAGCCAGGACACTGAGCTCGTCCCCTCCCAAGGACACTCCGAATATACACCTGTACTTAGAGCAGTTCCTCCTGAAAGACAACTGTCAGCCAAGTGTAAAGCTTCTGCACAATGAGCCGGAGAGAGAGTGAGACTGCAGAGCTACGAGGGCCTCTGGGAGCTGAGGGCCACCAAGCTGGGAGGGAGTGGTGAGTGCCATTCTTTGTGTGTCCCCTGCCAGTGGACAGGCGGCCTGAGCTCCATCAAGGTTCTCTGGCTGACCTGCAGGGTCACTGCAACACGTCCTCAGCCATCCCTACTGGGCACCAGAACCTGCGCATGAGAGGCCCCTCCACCTGGAGACTGATACACCAGGTACGGGAGGGACCTGCTTCGCGCACCTGCTGGGTTTTGTGAGCACACAGGGCTCCCTTGCCTGAAGAGCGTGCGGAGCTAGTAAGACTAGTAAGACTAGTGCGGGAGCTAGTAAGCCCCGCCTGCAGGGCTACCCCATCCTGAGAAAGTGTGGAGACAGTGGGTCAAACTGTGCGCTCTCATGGCCAGGCACCGTCCACGCCTACTCTGACTACAACCAGCCTGCCAAAACCAACCAGCACACAATCCACGCAGAGGCCAAATTTTCAAGACTGGGAGAGACAGCGATTTCATCTAACTTATAGAAACAAACACAGAAAGCACAACAAAATGGGGAGACAGAATAATATGCCTCAAAAGGAACAAGAAAAAACTCCAGAGAAAACTCCTAATGAAACAGAAGTAATCTGCCCGATAAAGAATTCAAAGAAATGGTCATAAGGATGCTCGACGAATGTCAGGGTAGAAGAGAGGGACTCAGAGAGCACTTCGACAAAGACTTAGAAAATAAAGAACCAATCAGAGCTGACGAATGCAGTCACTGCAATAGAGAATACATTAGAAGGAATCAACATATTAGTAAGTACAGAAGAATGAATTAGCGACCTGGAAGACGTGACAGTGGAACTCACCCAATCGGAACAGCAAAATGAAAAAAGAATTGTAAAAAGTGAGGATAGCGTACGAGATCTCTGGGATAACATCAAGGGCCCTAACATTCACATTACAGAGATTCTGAAAAGGGAAGAGAGTGAGAAATGGGCAGAAAAAATATTTGAAGACGTGATGGCTGAAAACTTTCCTAACCTGGGGGAAGGAAACAGAGATCCAGGTCCAGAAGACACGAAGAGCTTCAAACAAGATGAATCCAAAGAGACCCACAACAAGAAATACTGTAATTAAAAGGGCAAAAGTTAAGGATAAAGAGACAATCTGGAAGGCAGCAAGAAAGAAACAGGAAGTCACATAAAAGGAAAGCCAAAGAGGTTATCAGCTGTTTTGCCAGCAGCAACTTTACAGGCGAGAAGGGACTGGCAGGAAATACTTAAAGTGCTGAAAGAAAGGAATCTGCAGCCTAGAGTATTATTATATCCAGCAAGGTTTTCATTCAGAGCTAAAAAAGAAATAGTTTCCCAGACAAGCAGAAAGTAAAGTTCACAAACACTAAACTGGCCTTAGAAATATTAAGGGGTCTTTCTATATGCAGAAAAGAAAAGGCCATAACCAGATATAACACAGGAAAGAAAAAAACTCACTGGT